GTGTCTGAGAGTGCAAGTGTCTGAGAGTGCAAGTGTGCAAGTCTGAGAGTGCAAGTGTCTGAGAGTGTCTGAGAGTGCGTATCTGAGAGTGTCTGAGAGTGCAAGTGTCTGAGAGTGCAATTGTCTGAGAGTGCGTGTCTGAGAGTGCAAGTGTCTGAGAGTGCATGTGTCTGAGAGTGCAAGTGTCTGAGAGTGCAAGTGTCTGAGAGTGCAAGTGCAAGTGTCTGAGAGTGCAAGTGTCTGAGAGTGTCTGAGAGTGCATGTGTCTGAGAGTGCAAGTCAGAGTGCAAGTGTCTGAGAGTGCAAGTCTGCAGCCAGACCCTTTTGAAAACAACCCAGAGTAATTCCACAGTACTTTTTTGTAATTGTCTGTATATATATATATATATATATATATTTAACTATTTAACATTATTTTCATGTTTCATGACGTTTCAAGCAAGCCCAAATGGATTTAATAAAAACAACAATTAAAGAACGTTAACGTAGATGAACGCTCTTTCTAATAAATCAGCACAGACACAGGATGTGAATAAATCATGAACTCACCTCTCTTGAAGGCATAAACACTGTCTTTATGTTGACATGTGAGCACAATAACTGTCCACTTCATCAGTCCTTCATCTGCCATCCTGGCGTGCTTTATTTCTTGAGACCAATAAACTTGCAAAGAGCAGAAGCGAACAGCGCCCGGATCCGATTTATTCGCTATCGGTCACTGGATTAGAACTCAAGCTAAACGTTACCCCATTCGTGCTCTACAACCCCAAAACAGTGAAGGCAACACTTCCGGACTACAAAGCAGCTTCTGGACTACTATCTGACTACAGGCAGGGTGCGCCGGGAACTGTAGTTTGGCGCTACATAAAACGTTTTGTATATGAATATGGTTATGGTCAGCAACAAAAAAAATCTGTCAACAATTTTCCCCCCCCCACAATATGGTTGACTTAGGGTACCTAAAACCAAATTTAAAAAACAGGGAGAAAAAAAGCGATTTAAGAAAGAAACAGAACTAGATTTCTTACCGGAATCTTGCATTTTTCGTGCGAACTATGAAACAATCGAAAACTAAAATAATAATAATAATAATGTAATTCTTAGTGACTAAAGAATCTAAATAAATACATTTGAACTGTTAAATTGGGTACATTCAAATTCTTACATGAATCCTACGTTTCACTAGAAAATATCGTTTGAAACGTACAAAAACTAAACAACAACAACAACGCTTACCTGAAATCAAATCTGCTTATGCTTGGAATCAAATAAGCTCCATTACTTTTCATATACTTCAGCTTACATATGGATTTTCTCAGAAACAGCCAGTATGAATGAAACATTAATGGCATAAATTAAAAAGACCATTAAAGAGGAAGAACTCCTTTTTATTTATTGAAAACATTATAAAATATGTACTCAGTTGTTCATTTCTATGTAACATGTTTACATGAACCACTATAAGCAGAGGCAGACAGATCATCAAATGGTCCCGCAAAGACTTCAGAAAGACATAATCCTGATCATTTGGATGAGAACATAGTGAGATTTTAACTTTCCCCTTACAGTTAAATCAAAACTAATCCCTAAACATTTTCAGTAACATGATACGAAACGGTAACAGCTCAGGCATTGGCGCTTAAGTCGAACTAGTGCTAGATCTTTACATTCACAGTAAGATTATAATGGCGTTTGATACATCAGATCAGGCCTTATTTGGATGCACTACCACAACACAACAGCAAACAACCCACTCACTGTGACCAGATACACGAACAGCCCAATACACTTACAACATAAACTTTGGGACGACTTCCTGATTTTTTTTTTTATTATTATTTATCAAACCCAAAACACTAAGTTTCAGTATGTGGTTTCCCTGCAGAAATAAAAACAGCATCAGCATGATGAATGTTTTGGCCATTATGGTCTCACGCACACATTCACGCATGCAAATGGAAAGTAAAGTTCTTCGATTTTGGTCCAGTCACGGCACTGACCCGTGTTAAACAGGTCCGAAGAAATGTCCGTGTGTGAGGTGCTTGTGTAACAGGCACGCTAACTTCCTTTAGCATCCTAAGCATAGCAGAAGGACACAGCAGATTAAATAATTACATTCTTATAGCTTTTTAAATAGTGTTATAGTTCATGCAGGATGTTTTGGAACTCTTTCCTGTGTTCCTACCTGCTAAATGTAACTTAAAAAGAATGGTTTTATTCATAAATGGCTGTATGTGCACTTCCTCTACTGTAAGTTCACTGCATAGTGTTCTGCATCGAAATGTGTATTCCTGCATAGCACCGATCACTAAACCCAAAACCAGAGGGAAAGTGGACCCCCAAACCCTAAACGCCTCACCTGTGTAACAGCTACAAAGACATTTTTCTTAAAATATACAACAACCCTCTCTGTGAGTAGAGAAAATGATGGCATCACCTGTCTGGGTGCTGCTCGACAGACACCATGAGCGTTGGCATGATCTGTACAAGATTATAAACACAAACATGTGTCCAGATGCGATGTGCAGCGCATGGCTATTTGTGTGTGCAAGGATGGATTCATGACTTCCTGTGTCGGACTGTGTCCATACTGCCGTTTAGTTTACTACGCCCTGATGTGGCCAAATTGCTGCCGTCGGCGTGTCCAGGGACTCTGTCCTGCTCGGAAGACCCTTCCTGTCGGCGCCGGCATGTTTCTTTGTATCGGAGTGTGATGTCACTGTCAATGCAGAATACTTGGTCAATTAACATGTTAGTCAGGACATCTGATCAGTTTCTAATTATACATACATGCATACATACACAGTGTAAATGCAGTATTATATGCTGCAGATTATATAGAGTATGTGTTTATATATATAAATGAAAAAAATATAAAATTAAACAAAAATGTAATAAAACATTCATAATAAAAATGTATATTTAGGCTTACTGAAAAATTGGATACTGTGTGCAGTAAAGATCCAGTATTGTGCGCTGCAGGTTATATATAGTTTGTATACAATGTATCTGTACTGTAGTCAATTTTTTAATTTTAACTTTTTCTCTTAAAATGTTTTGAAAAATTATCAAAGACTGATAACTAGATGCCACTCATGCAAAGTGGTGAGGTTGATTGACAAGAACAATATTGCCCACTGTTACACATATTATTCTTAAAAATAGTAAAAGCAAAATAGCATATATTGGGCAAGTCTACAAGTAATTAGTACGCTAGTGTTCCATTCTGAACAGAACCTTCATTTATTTTGATGATATATTTTTACTATTTGGATATGATTTATCTTCTGATAAAAGGTCAAATTATATTTTGCGAAACACATTCCTTTATTAATAATAATTTACTAAATCAGCATTTTATATTGCTATCTGTAATTATGTTGACAGAGCTGATTTGCAGGTTACCGGACGAAGAACCGCCACAAGGTCCAAAAGAAGATGAGGACGATTCCGAGTGTCCAGCACTGTGTGATGAAGAAGGGAATTGGCAGCATAATGGTGTTCGGATCATATTTGACCACGATCAGAAACTCCGTAACAGTAATGGTCGCCACAATCCATGCTTGCTGGCCCAACTTTTTATAGAATTTCCTAAAATTCAAATGATTCATTAGATTTACTTACTGAAAAAAAACTCAGAAAAGAAGGCACGGCAGCACAGGGGGAAAAAAAACCCTGTTCCAAGTGAGCTGCCTAACTAGGTCATATTTTAGGCCTCATAAGCATATCCCAGCATGTTTGTACTCTCATTCTGACGGTACCCATTCACTGCAAAGGATCCATTGGTTAGTAAAGCCTGATTTGGATGGTAATTGTTTCTCATGGGGGCGAAAGCTATTTTCAACATTTACAGGGGTTAGTCGGTAATGCAGAATGTTGGTGTTTTTCTCCCACCACACGTGTAAAAATCCCTGGTTGAATTACCTACTGTTTTTGACAAACACCAAGGTCGTGGGGTAATTTAATTGCTGTCCGAAGTCATATGCGAGTTTACAAGAAGAAATCAATTCAAAATTCACTGTTTAAATAGTTTTTGACCACTGCCGAACACCGAACAGTAACTTGGTAACTGTTGCACTACGCTGTATTTTGCATGCATATTTATTACTCAAATGATGGAAAGTATACAAGAACAATATTTCATAACTGCTCCACCACAAAAAGAAAAAAAGAAGCACGTAAACATTTGAAATGGGTCATTATTATGGCAGCATCAGGTCTGCAATACAATTTAAAATATGTATTATACTGTATACAATTATATACATAAAAATATAAAACAAGCAGCTTTATGTTTTATCTTACGTAAACAAGAGGTTGCATTAACTTATCTCCACATTAATGACATCCATAATTTTAAGAGATAAAATACAAGACAGAAAACCATTTCAACTGTAGTGTCTATTTTTAAACAAGAGATTTAAATAAATCAAATAATTAATAGGATATTATTAAATATGAATTTATTCTCATTATTCCAAGCATACAACATTTTATTTACAGCAGACAACCATGTGACTGACCACGTCAGCAGTGCGTTCCCGGGTTTGCAAGATCACAGAACTCGCGTCTCCACTGTGAATAAATCTCCATCCGAACCCAGGAGTTTTATCGCTGAGGTGACATTTAAATTAAATTTTACAGATATCCACATGAGAAAAAATAACCGTCCGAAAAAGGCTTAAGTGATGTAATGCTAAATTTGTTTTAAATCTGTTCAGATGAAGAAAAACTAATCTACATCTTGGATCACCTGAGGCTGAATACATTTTCATTTTTTGGTGAACTACTCCTTTAAGCTAGGATACTGCCTAAGAACAGTGGTTCTCAACCTTTCCACCCTTCTATCCATTATCCAGGTCCCTTTGTGCAGAGTCGACAATAGCAAACACAAGTAATACATGGATGCCCGGTTTTATTTCTGAAGTACTCCATGCACTTACTATAAGGCAACACAACAAATGAATTTGAAATGTTCGCTTTAATGCATCCAGTATAGACACATTGTTAGAATGTTGCAAACCATATCCTTCAGCAAGTAAATTACAATGTTTAAGCTCATCTTGTCGTGAATCTTTGGTGTAAACTCGCCTTAAACATATGCCCCCTTAAGAACACTTAAACGACTGCTATAAAAAATATTGCTTCAAGCTCCCCCGATGTTCACTTAAAGCCTACTGGGGGAGCAGTACTGCCCCACTGAGAAATGCTGCCTTAGAAGGTAGCAGCCTACATAGACAACAGTTGAGACAGCTCATTAGGATTTGGAAAAGCACTAGATTGTACTTACGGATCATCCATGAAGTCGTAGATCTCTCGCATGGCCACTCCACCCACGTTCACAAAGAAGATGAGCCGCAAAAGCACCAGATAATGTTCAGGAGGCATCCACAACACAAACTTCAGATAAAACGTATTCAGCTCCGCCAACAAGAACTGCAAAAAAGCGAGAGAAAAAGGCATAATTTTTCATTCAAAATCATTGTACAGTGATTACATGAGCTGGTCATGTGACTCACCATGAAAATAATACCCAGCACCGCCAGCCATCTTCGCAGATTAGATGCAGGACGCCATTCAAACTTCACCCAGCTATATGGGGTAAACTGGAAGGCAATACGCTTAATTTTCCCCCTGAAACACAAAATGACATGAATGTCATGACAGTTTAGTGTGTCTGGCCTGCAGACACATCATTTCAGAGGTTTACTGTGTTTTTACTTGTATGTTGGGATGTTCCACAATCCCTGCCATTGATAGGGTTTCATGGAGAGCCAACCGAGAGTCTTCATGCCACAGTAAATGCCCAAACCGTTACACACCAACACATCCATGATCCACTACAGCAGGAGAGAGTCATTTCATGAGGACATGTTCTATCTGATCTCTTTAAAACAGGATGATGCATGAATCACAGGGTGTATTTGGTGTGTTTTACTCACATGGTCCCACCAGCACTCTGAGAAGTTGGGCAGCTGGTGTTCAAGGCTGTACTCCAGGAACTCAAACATCACGCTGATGATCATACACATCCACCAGTCCCTGATCATCAGCGTCTGACACACAAGAGACACAAACACATGACTAATAGTTTCTAATTCAATTTTTGAGGCTGTTTGCTGCTTTTTATACGTGTGGTAGTGCATTAATTTGCCAAACCCAATCATACGCTTGGGCAGAACAAATCAAATGCTTGCTGATAGATTCAGATATTCAATGAGTTACATCAGATGTTGACCAACCTTAATGTACCAGCCAAGAAAATGGGCAGGAACAAATCCATCCATTTTGTCCTGTTGGGAAAATAATATAATAATAATAATAATAATAATAATAATAATAATAAAAACTATTATTCCTGCTGCAAAATCAAACTCAAGTATTAAAAACTACATACAATTCAAAAGTTTCCCATTTATTTCAATAAATTTAACTGGCCTTATCAATTGATCATGCATGTCATTTTAAATAAGAACAGTTTTCCTAATAAAAAAAAAAAAAGATTGTTTGTTTTGGAAATACACCAGATTAAAGAAGGTAAATGCTATTTCATGTTGTTCCTACACAGCTGTTTTATGTTTCTCTTATCACACCACACCCTCTTCTCACATTATAATATTTCAATTTAAATAAATATTTCATGTCTATTTATTTATTTATCAAGTAACCATGTAAGAACAGGATAATGTACAGTCAGATGGACATTATCATTACAGAGTTTATTCTGTGAAATACGAATGACTGTACATTATCTTTAACATACAGCTATTTGCATAATAAAGTTGTGATGACAGATCAGATGGATATTTGACTAGCCTAAGTGACTAGATGTATGTGCAACCTTCTGTAACACTTGCATCTCTGTATTATCAGTGTCAATATTGTTTATTAATGTTGATGATGTTTAATGCATACCCAGATATTGTGGAAGGGGTCAGCAGGGTGACCAGGGTCATAAATAAGACAGTTTCCACCATAATCTCTTTCAGGAAGAGGGACACCCAGTTTAGGGTCAATGTACTTCATAAACTGCCTGCCATCATGCACTGTCTGAAAGAAAAGTCCAAATTTGGAATATGACACAATATGGACAAAACATATGTAAAGTTGTGTCATTGAGGCTGATAGCAAACCTGAAACAGGATGAAGATGAGGAAGAGTTCATACACAACAGAAACGCACAGCCAGAAACGCCAGTATGCTGCAAAGACAAACAGGTACCCATAAACATGATCCGTCATATAAAAACACAAAAGTACTAAAAAATACTAATGCACTAATATATAAATAACTAAAATTATAAATCTTATACAGGAGAATTTTTGGGATTTATGTTGGATGATTGAAATGTTTGTTGTCTGTATGATACCTGAACTATTACAATTCATCTGCATTTGGATTATTGGGGTGTGTTGATTATTTATGTTTATATGATTATTTTGCCATATCATCAGAAATATTTTCTTGGCAAACTCAAAATAGTCCAAATTATAAATAAATCTCTAATCTCTAAATACAATTATAGACCATGTATTTTATAACTATTTTAAAATTTATTAATTTTATTTTAACAACATAACAAATCTAGCAATTATTCAAGCTATTTTAGGGTTTCTGTGAGCCATCATAATTAATTAAAGTGACGTGATGTGTAGCCAAGTATGGTAACCTATATTCGAAATATGTGCTCTGCCTTTATCCCATCCAAGTGCGCACACACAGCAGTGAGTAGTGAACACACACACACACACACACACACACACTGTGACCACAGCCGGAGCAGTGGGCAGCCATTTTTGCTGTGGCACCCAGGGAGCAATTGGGGGTTAGGTGCCTTGCTCAAGGCCACCTCAGTCATAGGTAATAAGGGTGGAAGAGAGCCACCACAAACATAAAATTCACGAAGCATTTGGTCAAAATGCAAAAAAGGAACATAAACTTTAACTTTTTTTTTTTTTTTTAAGTTAACATGCTTGAATTAAGGATGTGAGATTAAGATTGTGAAACCCTTTTGACTATGACTGCAACCATTTGTTTGCATCTACTTCTCTCTATGTTGGAGTCCCCAGACGCTCTTTTAAAACAACCTTGCATACTTAACTGGGATTGAAATTTAACACCATTCACTGTAACCGGTAGCCCAACTTACAATTTGTGCCTACATTCGTCAGTCATCTCGTGCCTTTGAGAGGCCTGAATGACCGGAGGAGTCCTTCAAGCATCTTTCAGGTTTCAGTGAGTGATGTGTTGAAAGCCCCGTTCCAGCCCGTCCATTTTTTGAAGGAGATGTGCGTTACTGTTGCTATAACAGTATGCTCATTGTTACTCAATGTTGAAACTGTTTTAAACCGTCTCTCAGAATGCTATTTCAATTTACTCATTCTACTCATAATTTAAACAAACTACAGTCAAGCTACACCTTTGAATAGTTAGTTTTAGGGGTGCTCCGATTGATCGGCTACCGATCATTATCGGCCGATAATCACGTTGGGATGATTTGTTCGGCGGTCTCTAAAAGGCCGATCTCAAGCTGATGACGCTGCCGTGAGAGGTTTGGCACGACATGCAGCGGCACCGTCTCAGTCCGGCGCGGGTGAAATAATTATAATTCTGAAGGTGAGGTACTCACCTTCATATTTCTTCATTAAATAACTTACAAAATAATTTGAAAACCTTGTGTGAGACGTAATTTCACAAACAGCGTGAGTGAATCACCGCACGCTCTCTCTCTTTCAAAATACACAAATGGCTTCAAATCACCACACATTGCGTCTGTCTATATCACGTCAGTGTCACATCGTCACTAAAGTTCATACAAGTAAAGTTTTTGCATTACTTTTTCATTCTTGCCAGTGTTTAACCATTCAGCGCTTGCGTGCACTCCTGTAGATCGTGCGCTCATGCACACACATAATGCCAGGTTCACATTACTCTGTTTGCAGTGCATGGTATGTGGTGCGTATTTTTTTCGCGCTCATGTTAACGGATTAAAGCATTCACACTGCACACGGCAGTGCAGAGATCGTTTCCGCACAGAGTCTATTTTTGCTGTGATACACGCGCTGAATTAAAGTGACAGCACATTGTTTGCAGTACATATGAAAACGAAAATGTAGCAATTGCACCATAAATGCATATAATTAAAGTATACTGTCTTTCACAGTCAACACATATGGCTTATTGGCTAATTTTAAAGGAAAAGAGCACTTTTAGATTAACAAGGCAATAATAGATGCACTCGTGGAGGTAGGAAAACAAAGTTCTTTATGAACCGCAGGAATGCTTGTAATAAAGATTTCAATGCAAAAGGAAAGGCAGTAGAGCTGACTATTTCTGTCAATGGTAAGTTTGTGATAACATAAGAAAAGTAGTTTAAATGTTTTGCCACTTGCTTGAGTAACTTAATATATAAATCTAGAATTAAATGCAAAAGTAAAAAGCATTGAATGATGTGTTGCTTATATTTATTGTGTTTAAACATGTCTGTGAAAGATTGTATTACTGTACTGTGTAAAAAAAGAATTGCAATGCTGAAAAAGCATTTTCAGTGACAATGTTTGGATTTGAAATCAAAATAACGGAATGATTATAATGTTGGAATAAAGGTTGTGTTTGTGATAAACAGCCACGGATCAGTAGCGGACTCCTGTGTGAAAGCTGCTTCCCCTCTCACAAGAGTCACCTAAGAGGGGAATTTCCCCCATTTTCAAAAAAGAAATTCAGGCCCTGAATAAATGTCTAAAAAATCCTGATTGAAGTATCACTATAAATAGTTATAAATGATAAAAAGAAGGCTTTAAAAAGATCAGTATTGGCAGATACGGCTTTCTGTGATCGGCCTCAAAAATCCTGATCGGAGCACCCCTAGTTAGTTTCATTACAAATTTATAAGTAGCAGCTAACTACAAAAGCTATATTTCTTAGGCACACAAACAATTAAGATTTGCAGTGAAAGCATCAAACTTGAATACAAATTTACAGTAGGGCTGCAAAATGCACATTGACATTTTCCCAATAAAAATTGTGACTGCAATTTAAAATACAAATTTGGGCTGCACAAAAAAAAAAAAATTTGTTTGTAGAACAGCACAACTTGTCCAAAAAGTGTGATTATATATCAATATTTTGATTTGATTATTGATTTTTATTGCCATGTCAGCATCTAAAGCTATCTTCATGGTAAAAACAGAGTTGGAATAATACACGAGTTACATAAACAAAAATAAAAACCAAGCAAACACAACAGATATACATTATACAACAGATACAATTTTAAATTAACATGATAAAAAAAATCTATAATCTTTTCTGGTAAAATCTTACTAAACATGCCCCTGAGTAAATAAAATAATTGTATTATACAGAACAAGTGTAAAATGACAATATTAATATTTAATATTTATTTAGTTTTAATTTCTTTGTTTAATTAAATGTGCAGCCAAAATTTACAGTAAATATCACTTTTAAAAACTCCTAATCTACATAATCAATTCTAAAATAGGGATAAACTGCAGTTTAATTATTTAACTTTATACTGAAACACAAAAAGAAAACATAAAATGCCATGTACAGACTTCTGGGAACACTATTGAGTGACTCAAATGACTTGGTGAATCATTTTTATGAAATGATTCATTGAGATAAAGACAAATGAATCAAGTCTTCTCAACATGACTTGCAGGGTCCTTTTACAACTGTGTGATGATTGCATCAGCTCGCTCAATTGTAATGCAATGTGAAAAACAATGATGTATTTGTTTAGTTACATTGCACTGCTAGTTGTTGCAAAGCATGTTACTGGAAAAGCTATGCTATTCTTAAAACAGCTGAGTGACTGTCACACTACTGAAACGTGTTTAAGTCACTACTTTTAGCTACTCCACCTCAACAGTACTATGAGAGCTCACAATTATAGCATCTCAAAGTCGACATGAAGGTGATGTGAAACCTGGGTTAAGGTTAAATCATCTATGAATAAAGGTTACTGACCTGGGTGAGGACGTGTGAAGGGACCATCTTTAGCTTGTGTTACTCCGAAACAAAGGAACACCAGAATACTGGCCACAATTCCTCTGAAAAACACAAAATATACACAAAATAAAAACAAACACTGGAGAAAATGTGAGTGGTTCCTTATGTGCAAAATTCGCTGCCAAGATGCTAAGGTGTTTCTAGGACGCTGCTCACCCTCAAGTATATAAAAAATATATTATGGAGGTCAATGGCTACCGGCAACTCTTTGGTTACCCACATTCTTCAAAATATCTTCTTTTGTGCTCGACAGAACAAAGAAACTCGTACAGGTTTGAAACAACTTGAGAATGAGTAAACGACAGCATTTTCATTTTTGGGTGAACTATCCCTTTATATATAAATTTGTTTGTCACAGTTCTCTGATTGGTGGGGAGTCGCTGCTGAATCATGGGTAATGTAGTTTTTCCACCAGGAAATCAGTTTATGAAAATTAAAACCCACCTCTTTTCTGAGTTCTTGTTTTATAGATTGCCATTTAGGTGTTTCAAGTGGTTGTCTAGTTTAAATAAGGGGTTGGTTCAAAACTTGCAAGCACCTCTAATAAAACTGCACATTGCCTTCATACTGAAATACTAGCTGCTCTTCCTTCTGATAAAGTTCAAATGCTTTTAAGCACAGTGGGTCAGTCTGTGACCTGGACTTTTTGATCAGCAGCAGATGTCACACATAATCCTGTTAGCCAATAGAAAGCACGACACTAAGCCAAGGCCCTCCCAGCTATAGCCATGTGTCATTTCTGTCCACATCAGACCACTTTAGCTACTGCTCAGGAGGTAACAATAGGGCCTTTCGCACCGCGGGAACCTTTTCATAGTACCAGAACTAATTGTGGAACTACCCACTTTTTGGCGTTTTCACACCGCCGGAACTGGGTGCGATTTTAGTACCGGACTGCCTTTTTCGAGAACCAAATTAGCTCCAACTCCGGAGCAGGGTCTAACCAGCACAACTGGTACTAATCGTGACGCAAATAGACATTGATTGGCCAAACGCGTATGAAAACGCCCTCACCCGCCATGATTTAAAACCCCGTGTAAACATAGTGTCAACTTATTTCGCAAGTATGGAGAACAGCGATAGATGGACGGACGCTGAAGTGCAGGCACTTGTAGCAAATGTAGCACTGCCAGTTGTCGTTGGAGATTCTTAATCCTCCTTTCAATCGCTTTACGTATACGTCGACTTTCCATGTCCATTATTGTGAAACCCGCGAGACAACAAAAACACAGCTCCGATCACAGCGTCCTCTATCCTCCTGTTGTTAATGTTGTTCTTCTTTGTTTCTGTTGTTGAACGCTGTGCACAAATGACGTCACTTCTTAGTACACACTCTCGGTGCGAATGCAACCCTTTAAATGGTACTGGGAAATAGTTCGCGCAAAATCGTCCCAGTACTTAAGAACTGTACATTTAGTTCTGGAACTAAAGCGGTGCGAAAGGCCCTAACGCGCCTTAGTCAATGGCACTGTGAACTGCATTCTGGTCTCAATGCTAAAGATAAAGGACAGGACACGCTGACTACATGCCTTTACCATACCTTTTAGTGTTGTACGCTGTGTCATGTGGTGTCTCCTCCAATAGTGTCACATAAACTAGAGCACATGTCAGGATGAACAGCACTGTCAGAGTATGTGCCCTCCTGCAGAGAGAAAGACGAAACAAGAGTACAAAGCTTGCATTCAAACGTTACTGACAGAAGTCTGGTTTGTTTTTTTCCACATTTAAAACCTGTTGAGCTGGTATACAGTCTGATCATAAACACAGCCACACCGCAACACACACACACACACACACACACAAGTAGACGACAGTTTTAAAGGGGTCCTATTAAGATCTTTTACAAAGTCTTGATTTTGTTTTGGGGGTGTACTAGAACATGCTCTCATGCATAGTGGTTCAAAAAACGCATTATTTTTCACATCATTTACATTATTAAAGTACCTTTCTCCCCAGCCTGGCACAAACGGCTCAATTAGTTCCGGGTTTGATGAAGGTCCGCCTTCCGAAAAACAAAATGTGTTGTGATTGGTTAGCTGTCCCAGTGTGTTGTGATTGGCGAACAGCTTAAACGGTGTTTCAGTACTGCCACGCCCCTTGCTCCATCTTTCAACAAAAGCTTTTGGTGAATCAGGCACTGTACTACTCCCTCATGTTGTGGAAGCTGTCCTCAGTAAAATGTGCAGTGCACAATAGCAAATTTGCTCAGGAACAGAGTTAAAAATAAATTGCAACCACTGTTTCCTGACATCATCCGCTTTCGGAAGTCCAAACAAAGACGTTTGGGCACATAGGTGAAAAAAAAAAAAAAGTGTTTGAGGCAGTCACACAACGGACAAGAAGCTCAGCGTGTGTCACGTCACGCCACGTCTTTAAAATTTGTACATATTATTTTCTATGAGTGTACGTAAACGGCGGCGCCGTTCGCTGTTTGTCCGCGGTGCCCAGCTATGTCGTGTTGTACTTCTTGTAAGAATTGTTCTAGACGCGGTGCTGCGCTTCTCGTCCAGTGTGCGACCGCTTTTAGACATACCGAAAACGCTACAGCACAGCAGCTCTTTTTCACATCACAAAGCCCGGAAACCAACACTGTAGTCCAAACGAGCCTTTCGTTGTAGTTCTTGAAAAGGGATTTTTAAAAAACGAAATATCTCCCTTTGGAGTGGACTTTGAGATTTGTAACTTTATAGATCTTTTTTATGCCCAAACATACACACTACACACTGACTAAAATAAATGTTAAAAAAAAAAGTGAAAAAGCATAATAGGACCCCTTTAAATAATTACAGATAGAACTTTTTAAAGCCTTTTAATTGAGAAAAGCATAGCATTCAAAGATATTTCACCCAAAAATTTAAATCAAGCCAAAAAAAAAAAGACATTTTCAAAATGATTTTTGTGCGATCTATCCCTTTAGGCTTTACACTTAAGACAGCCTAAACCAAAGAAAAACAATTAAAGTGAACAATTCGGAATAAGTATTGTTGGATTATTACAATTATTATTCATATTCATATTATTCATTTATTTTTATATTTGTAGTCTGATTTAGTTATTGCATTAAAAATCAGAAATAAAACAAAAATTTCTGAATATTGGTTATAACATCCCAAAACAAAGTAAAAAATTAATGCAAATCAGTTGTACTCCGTTTCAGTTTTTGCATCAAAAATCAGGAAAAAAACAAAGATTGGTTCTAAATATTTGTTATAATATAAAAATGTTGCATTAGTACTATTGGATTTCTATTATTATTATTATTATCAACAACAATAATAATCATTTGTTTTATAGTTGTAATCTGATTTAATTACTGCGTTAAAAATAAAAATAATACAAAAATAAGTTCTGAATATTGGCTGAAACAGTCCAAAACAAGACCATTCATGCAAACAATTAGTATAAATGTTACTGGATTATTATTATTAATAATATTATAATTGAGATTACAAAAAAAAACATTATAATTATTATTATTATTATTAAAGTAATTTGGGATTCTTTTGTATATTATGAAATCTATCAAATGTCATTCTTTGGCCAATAGCCTTGGCCAGTTTTTGACTCTATACAGTCTGTGTATATTATAACTAACCTAGAGAGAAGGGTCCAGATTTAAACTAATGTGATAATGAACATATCAAAAATATTAATTGATCGGTCATGATTTTCTTCTATAAGAAAACCATGGGAACACTAGGGAACTTCTATAGTTCTGTGTATAAAAGCCTGGGAGTGAAAGAGTCTCGTCTACAGCACCATCTTAAAGCATTTAATTGATCGAGTATCATTTCTGCTGAGGTTGCAGAAGAGAGAAAAGCCGAGCAAAGCTGTAATACTACTGAACAGTCTCTGGACATCACACACACACACACACACACACACACACACACACACACACACACGTTCAAAAGTTTGGGATCAGTAAGATTTGTAATGTTTTTTAAAGACGTCTCATCTGCTCATTATGGCTGCATTTATTTGATCAGAAATACAGAGAGAGAGAAAAAACAGTAACATTGTGAAATATTTTAGCAAATTAAAATGGTTTTCTATTTTAATATACTTTAAAATATAATTTATTTTTGACGCAAAGCTGAATTTTCAGCATCATTCCTCCAGTCTTCAGTGTCACATGATCCTTCAGAAATCATTCTAATATGCTGATTATCAATATTGGAAAAGTTTTGGTAACACTTTACTTGAAGGGGTGTGCATAAGACTGACATGACACCTACATAATCATGACACATGTCATGAATATGAAGGAGGTTGTATGCATATTTATGACAACTGTCATTAAGTGTCATTCACTCAGTTATGTCATTTTTAATGTAAATATGACATTATTTGAGATGTCTTTGTTATGGGCTATGGTTAGAGTCTTATGCACACCCCTTCAAGTAAAGTGTTACCAAATTTTTTTAGAAGCCGTGATACTTTTTTAGGATTCTTTGATGAAGAAAAATCAATGTAAACTCTGTGTTTGTCTCAATGGAAGTGTCTTGCATTGTTGGTTGTTCCCTGTCTTGTTATGTACATTAAGCAATTAAAAAAAGCAACAAAAAAAAAGTATGCATCTCTGTTCTGCATCCACAATCAGTTATGAACACATCATTATGTATTTATTATTTATTGTTTATTTATATGCATTTAATTATGTAACGTGATATGATATAGCTGTAGGCAGTGTTGGGGAAAGTTACTTTTAAAAGTAATGCATTACAATATTGCGTTAGTCCATAAAAAGTAACTAATTACGTTACTTAGTTACTTTTTATGGAAAGTAATGCGTTACGTTACTTTTGCGCTACTTTTTAAATCTGGACAGGGCTTGCTTGTTTGTTTTGAAAATAAACAAGTTATATAGTTACTTGAAAAAAGTAATCTGATTACGTAACTCGCGTTACTTGTAATGCGTTACCCTCAACACTGGCTGTAGGTGTAGAAAAGCCTTGCTAATATTAGCGAGTAACTAATTATATGTAACTACATTTATTTCGTAATTTTATTTTCAATACAATTTTCTTTCCCAAATTGCACTGACTGCTCTAAAATATGAGACACCAAAGTTTCAGGAGCTGAGGACACAGAATAGGACACATGCTTATTTGATAACTGTTTTATTTCCTATTTTGGTTTATGTATGCTTTATTTTTTTAAGATTAGCTGTTTTTTTCCAAAAGCATTGTTAGATGGCAGTGTTTTCTGTCATAGCTATGCAAAGATTTGATTTCAAGCTCAGTAGCATAACTATTAAACTATACCTTGTGATTTTACATCTTTATTTAACCTCTAAAAGATCTCAAAGTAAAACGAGGTGCTAAAGTCTGATTCTGTGGTGGCTGTGTTTTCAAATTAAATTATTATAATCTTAATTCAAGTGATGAAGGATTCTGGAAGTCTGTTGAGCACTATACTGTAATGTTAACCCTGCCTGCTATAAATGTTTGAAAATGATTAACAGTTGAAAACATTTGTTAGAAATGTAGAAAAGTAATCAAATTTAATCAGTTACAAATTGAAAGTTACACTACTTATTACATTTTAAATATAACTTGTAATCTGTAATTTATTAAATTTCCAAAGTAACCTTCCCAATGCAGCATGCAACTGAACCAAGTCCCGCCTGCATGTTTTTTTCTTTTTTGATAAAATAATAATTTATGTTAATAGTATATTTCACTAAAATCCTTTTGTTAGTCAGTTTGTGTTTCACCTTCACAATATCCTCATGAGAACCATAAAACAAAAGGTTTTGTGAATTTTGTAGGTTTTTTATGTCATTACATTGGTTGGAGCATAAGAAACAAATGGAGAATTTTTTTTTTTGAAAAACGATATTTTATTCATATTTTATTCTATGTCCTTTGTAGTAGAGGATGCCAAGACTAAGTTATTCAAAAAAAAAAAAAAGACACGAAAAGGCATGTATAGGCAAAAACAGTTTTATTTTTTTTCACCAGTTTTTAGGTTTCAGGCTATTTTTAGCCAAACTTTGTACAAGGATGATTCTCAATGTTATGACATAACAGAATGATTTGATATATACTGTACTTTATGGAATATGTGAGTAAAATGTCCATAAATTGGTATTTCCACTCAATGTATCTACTGTACACATTGCATCTCATTTGCATATTGTTCTTGGGGCAAACCATGAAATGGTTTTCATGAACCAATGAAAAAGAAGTGTTGTAATGGGAGCAATAACTTGGCGACATTTTCATATGAATATCTCATATTTCATGGGAATATTGATATATTTCTTTCCCTATTGACTTATTGCGTTTCCCCAAAATTATCATATTTCCTTAAGAGCGCTAATTTTGATCATTCTGTCAATATCAGTCTTTTTATTAAATAAAACAGGACTACCCCATATATAACAGATTAGGGAAAGAAGGGGGAAAAAATGAATAGGGCAGAAAAGTTAAATGTCCAGACAGTTACACAATTACAATATTCCTTGTAGTATAATAGGGTGAAGATGAGGTTCCATATAGTCCAGATATGGAGTCCAGACTTTATAAACCAGGCCTGTTTTTTGATGTAATACATAGGTAAGATGCTCCAGGGGGATCAGTTCAAAAATTATCTTATGCCAACCTTTAAGCGATGGAGATTTATCACTAATCCAATTAAGTAAAATATTTTTTCTGGCAGCAAAGGAGAGAATATTATACAATTTCTTGTTAGCAAATGAAACGATGCATGTATTAGGTATAATATCAGTCATTTTTAAAGACCAAGGAGAGGGAGTGTTTATGATCAAGCTTCCAAACTTTTCATATCTCTAAAAACGAATGTGTTCTGTACAAAACATCCAGACTTAAAACTGTGGCATGTATGGTCTCAGAGAAATGACTAAAATATAATGTCCTCTACAGAGGACAAAAGTCTGTGCCTGGGTCCCAGGAGGATGTCTGCTTGTTGAGGAGCAAGATTGCACCGAAAAAATTCTGGATATTTGTATGTATTTGTTTCAGGAGTCTCATTTGTCCACTAGACATACAGGTTACAGACTATAAATATGATGACTGAAGCCAACAATTAACAAGGTCGTTAACTTCTTATCTGATCTTATTTAGATTTGCCTCAAAGTTTGTTTAACGTACTACTACACTGTGATCAAAAGGGGGCGCTGTTGCACTATTCACAAACACAAAGTGCAACTACTCAACAGAAACGAATCATTTCTCTTGTTTTTATATTTAAACTACGGACTCGAGACTCAGGGGTTGATTTTTATACAAGATTTTCAACCCTTTTCTTTTTGTTATGCGAAGCTCACATTAACACTGAACTGGAAAGTTTATACTTTTATAATTTTATTTTAAGTTTCCGATTTCATGATAACATAAATTAATAAAGGTCACATTAACACTGAACTGAAAAATGTATACTTTTATCATTTTATCATAAGTTTCTAATTTCATAATAATATAAATGTATATACTAAAAAAGCACTGATTTAGTTTTTCCCCTTTTAAATCCTTTAATCAATGTATTTTATAGTTTTTTTTCTTGTCCAATATTTTAATATTAAATATTAAATCCATGGCAAAAATATAAATTATTATGTCTTTAAAAGCGTGAAATAAACACGTTGCTTCAAAATGTAAATAATTTATACGAATATCATCATAAAATAATTTATACTGAAGTTACTTGTTTAACAAAGACGAAACAGTGTCAGTGAAGAACGTGTTAAAAATTAAATATGATACATTTTTATGGGAACATTTTAAAAATCGAAGTAAAAGTTACTTGAATAGAATGTTTTTATTGTGTTTTACTTTTATTCCAATCAAACTGTCCAATTAATTTTGTATATGACAGACTACACATATTCTTTAGAAATAGCATCTGATTTAACACTTTTTGATAGCTATTTGATGTATTGGATTATAAATACTGTTTAATTCGACTGTTATTTTAATGTATTTCACTTCAGGTGGTGCAATGTGTGGCTGGGGGGGGGAGGCGCTAAAATTATACATTTAAAACAAACGCGTATGGCAGCAAGGTACACAACCAATCACAGCTGACTACATGCGGGTCTAGCCAATCACAGGCGAGTAGAGGCGGGTCTAGCAACAAAACCACAGGAGTTGAGGATGTTGACCAATAGGAGAGGAGCGTGCGGTTTCACACCGCTGAGGCGCAGGACTTTAAATCTGACGAGATTAAAGAAATCACGGCCAGATCTAGAGCTTTACCATTTCTAACGACGTGTGTTGTAATTCACACTGACTTTTTTGCCCTCACACCCATTTGGCTCGTTTTATTCTGCATTTGGGCACTATCGACGATGTCCGCCGTCGCCGGGGAAAGACTGACCCGAAGGAGACCCGCTCCTCAGAGGAGCGCAGAGACCCTCCCGCCAGCGAAGCGCACGGAAACGTGCCGAAATCTGTTCGGACCTGTGGATCACGACGAGCTGAAGCGAGACTTGTCTTCCAAACTTCGCGAAATATCCGAACGAGATCAGCTGAGGTGGAACTTCAATTTCGGCGAAGGGCGGCCGCTGGATGGGGATTTAAAATGGGAGGAAAGTCGAGCGGAGGACTGTCCGGGGCTTTACAGAGAGAGCACTGCCCTGCCAAAGAGGCCTTTGGTGGACTTTCCCACGACACAAAATATCACACAAGTTCCCCCAAAATGTGGGGGTCCTTCAGTGATAGTTCTGAACCAAAAGAACCAGCCAAACAAGTGTAACCGGAGAAAGTTATCTCGCAAGACAGTCGCTCGCGTCCAGACGGAGAGCCTCGCAGACATGCGCATTACAGGTAAGCAGTAATACTAGTCATATAACGTAATATATTATCATACAGTGTTCATGTTTTCAATGTTGTGAATTTCTTCTCGTGTAGACTTTTATGGAAAGCGAAAGAAAATGGACCGGGTCCATAAAGAAAGCAGAAACATGGAGTAAAAACACGTCCTCTGGGGGGGAAAAAATCGCACTAGTGTGAGTCACGAAGCGGTGGCGGGAAAACGCCGGAAGTAATGACGTCTCCGAGTCTGACTCACGTTCTTATGTGACTCTGGTATTTATTCTTATGTGTCTCTGGAATTTATTCTTATGTGACTCTGGAATTTGTTCTTATGTGTCTCTGGTATTTATTCTTATGTGACTCTGGAGTTTATTCTTATGTGACTCTGGAATTATGTGACTCTGGAATTTGTTCTTATGTGACTCTGGAATTTATTCTTATGTGACTCTGGAATTTATTCTTATGTGACTCTGGAATTTATTCTTATGTGACTCTGGTATTTATTCACTGCTGTTTGTGTGGTTTAACCGTATAGGAGCAGCTCTGGTCGCTCTTTACAGTGTACAACTGAAAAGTAACTTTAAATTAAAGTCAGGACAAGTAAACCTATTTATTGTTGTGTAATATATATATCCGCATGTATATGTTTTGTAACGACCAAAGTTATTTATTTATTGTTTTTTCTCTTTGTGGTAGAAAATGTAGCTTTTTTTTTTTTTTCTTGAGCAAAATCACATTCCTGAGCCATATTTGTCATTGCAAAGAAGTTCCTTCAATAAATGTGTACATATAAACTTATGTTGTGTCTCATCCACTTTGTGTTTTTTCCAGCCTGGTAAAGATATAATATAAAATAACAGGCTATTGTTCTCAACACCTTTATAAGCATACATGCACTGTGTGGACTGGGGTCTTACCAGAACTATCACCAAACGTCTTGTAGCTTCACAGTAAGAGCACACATCCAGCATAACAGTATGATCTGGGTAAATATTGTTACGTAATCAAATTTGAGCTTTGTAATTAAAATGAATGATATTTTCTGGTTAACCTCAGGAACAGAAACTTTAAAGTGATAACACAAAAGTATGAAAAATATGTAAAAGCACACTGAAAAAAAAAAAAGATAAGTGTAGAAATAAACATGCAATTTTTAAGAAGAAAGACTTGTATTTTCTTGTAAAACGCACACAAAAGTTGGTCATTGCTTAAGGGTCTCAACTAATTTTACATTATAGAAATGAATGTGAGAAACATTTAATATAATTATTATATCCTATTATAACTGTTAATGTAGTATTGAGGTATAATTATACTTTTTATTAATATTCTGAATCATAATTATATTTTGTTTTTATTTGACGTTAAGCTGAAGTTTTAGTAATTTTCCTGTGTGTCTTGTTATTTTTACTAGATTTTTTTCTCTTTATTGTTTTTATTAAGTTTTACTTTTAGTTAATTTAGTACAAGTTAAACTAAATTAAAATGAAAAATGTTGTCTTGGCAACAAAAAAAAAATTTCCCACTGGTTTTAATTTTACTTTTACATAGTTACATAATAACCCTGATAATAATAAGATGGAATATGTGATGCACATATTTTTGTGAGTTTTTCCTACCAAAATGATGTCACTTCTCCAAGGACAGTGTTATTGAGGAACTGGATTTTGTGTGTGTGTGTTTGTGTGTGTGCGCGTGTGTGTGTTTAAAGGACAAAAAGAATGGGAAGAGAAATTGAGCACACCGATAATCAATTAAAACAATGTTCACAAAAAAAAAAAACATGTTTGCAAACGTTTCGATTATAAAAATACATAAATCTTGGAATAATTGTTAATATATTGACCATTTTTCACGTTAGAACTTAATGGCAACATCATTTTAACTTGCATATGAATCCAAGGCCTCCATTTGGTTTGACAGCATTAATCATGATTAAGGAATCAGTGCAGCATTTGCTAATACCACTTGTGTTGTGAATTGGCCATATTAGATATGATGTCTATTTCTACAGTACACATGGAATGAATTAAACATCCTGACTCTATAAGAGAATGAATGTGTGTGTGTGTGCGCAGAGAGGCGGCACTTTGAAATCACATCTTAGAAGCTGCGGCCACAGCGGATGGTCCACTACGTGTATAAACATGAATAGTGTTCTGGAGAGATAAAGAAGACAGAGAAAATAATTATAAAATAAAGTTTATTTCCACCACAGAAAAAAAAAAGAAGGAAATTTTGACTTTTTATCTTGCAATTCTGACTTTTTTTCCTCAAAATTCTGCATGTCTAAAGGTCAGGTGTCTAAAAATGAAGGGAAAAAATAGAATTGCAAGATAAACTAAAAATTCAGAGAGAGAGAAAAAAAGTCAGAATTGTGCCCTTTTGCCCAAAATAAGCTTTCATATAATTTTAGTACCATTGAAATGCTATTATAATTTTTGTAATATTCTGAATTTGTATTTTATTTTTATATTATTCATTTACATTTTCGTTTTAGTTTAATTTTGTTGTGCGTGTTTTTTTTAATACATACAGTATTTTTTTAAACATATACTATTATGTTTTATTTCAGCTTTTTATATTTTCATTGAGTTAACTATTTCAAGTAACATTTTTTATGGTTTTACTCATAGTTATAATAATTCAACTTAATAATGAACTATAACCATTTTGACACGCACTAAATTAACTTCAATCTTCAAAACTGTAAATAATAGATTATTGGAGTACATTTTCCAAGAAAAGTCTATTTTAGTCTTTAGTCTATTTATTGTACTTGCCATTTCTTTGTAATTAATTGTACAATTTACTTGCAATTTCTAAGCAACATTTTTTCTTAATTTTTTCCGTGTACATGAATGTGTGTGAGACTGATAGAATGTTTTCTACCTTTTTCCCTTCAGCGTTGTATTTATCCAGGAGTCTTTGAACGCGAGTGCCGTAATCGGGGTGAACGGCCATCAGGTTTTGCACCTGCAAAAATTACAAAAATCCATCTGAATCATTCAGAAACAAATGGGTTTTTTTCTAGGCATGTTTATATATTCCTGAAAAACTGCTAATGAGAAGTTTGACTAGCTGTCATGAGATTTACGAGAGTGAAAAATCTCACAGGACCAAAAACAAAACCTCATACCATGCGTTTCTGAATAAACAGTTGAGTTCCTTTCAGGTGGCCGGCCATGTTCTGACACAGACGCTCTCGCTCGGCTTCGTTCAACACCTCCGTGAAAAACGTGCGCACCTGCAGAATGCATCAGAGCAGGATTAGAACTCACCATACTTGTGATTATCCATACACAGATGCACACACACGTTCACCAACAAACCTGGGCCACATTGTCATCGTCTGCGCTGTTGTATCGGGCCACATCAGGAGACACTTTACACTTGGACTCGATGAAGCGTGGCTGGGTCTCAGGAGCACTGAAGCTGTTGGGGAAGTAGTTAGGAGCCCCCCCTGCAGGACAGGAGATGAACTGCTGTTGTTTTGCCACAAAATTCAATGAACAATGAAATGCAAGTTTGGGTCACATCAGGCATTCCAGACAGATGTTGCATTGTTCATCTGACTCACTTTTAAGAGACTAATACCATCTCTAACTCAAAACCAAACAAAGCATTTGACATCCCATTTTTTGTTCTGCCGTGTTTGGAGTGTGTGTCACTCACCCTGGTTGTCGTACATGCACATGGGTCCGTCTCTCTGGTAGTTTGCCACATGGGTGCGGTAGGGGCAGTTGACAGGCAGTTGGAGGTAATTCGCTCCAAGCCGATGTCTATGTGTGTCTGGATATGAGAATAGACGCCCCTGTGGCAACAAAATTGAGCAATTACAGTATTTAGCAACATTCTTGCAATTAGTTATAAGTCACTGACACTTTAATCCAAAGTGATTTACAGGACGCTTATTACAAGCACGCAGAGCTTAAGTGCCTTGCTCAAGGACAAAATAGTGAACAAGCATCCTTTTGTGCATTTTAAGCTTGTGCAAACGAACCTATGAAATGTGTCTGGGTAGGTTGCTTAATAAGTTGTGAGACACATTAGTACAAACATACCTGCAGCATCTTGTCCGGGCTGGGCTCAACACCGGGAGGCATGTTACTGGGATCAAACGCCAGCTGCTCGACCTCAGCGAAATAGTTGACAGGGTTTCGGTTCAACACGAGGCGTCCCACAGGAATCAGAGGGAAGTCTTTATGGGGCCAAACCTGAAAGATACAGAGCCAGTCATTGGGATGGGCACACCTACATCTCATTCTTTGTTATGAAGAACGAGTTATTTCATCAAAACTATAAAAGAACACAAATGGAAGAATAGGAATTGTGTAGTGACCAAAGCAAGACATTAGTGTAGTGCAGTGGTTCTCAACCAGGAGGCCCGGGCCCATTAGGGGGCCTCAGCAAACTTCCATGAAGGTCCCATTAAGTCATAAACATTATTTAAATATTTTTTTAATACTTATACGTTACACATAATTTATTTTAAATTAATGTTGTGGTAACCTTAAAAAGCTAAAAAAAAAAAAAAAAAAAGACAGACAACATTAAACTGACATTTTACTACATCAGAAACAGTGTTATTCTAGAATAACTGAGATACTATTATAGATTTTTTTATTTGTTTTATATATGTTTTAATCATTTTGAGTGCTTTTGCCATTGTTTTATTTTTTTGTGTACTAGAGGTACATATCAGCCCAAATAGGAGGGCCTTCAAATATTGTTTTGGACAAAGGGAGCCTTGAAGTCAAAGAGGTTGAGAACCACTAGTGTAGCATAGTGTCTTGAGGTGCATTCTGGGATGCGGATACCTTAGTCAAATCAAACGGATTCCACTTCCAGTTCTCCGCCTGCTCAAAGGTCATGACTTGGATGTAGAAAGTCCAGGATGGGAAGTTGCCGTTGGAGATGGCATTGTAGAGATCTCTGATGGAGAAATCCGGGTCGGAGGAAGCCAGACGATCAGCCTCTTGAACGGTCAAATTCTTAATGCCCTGATCAGTCTGAAAGACAAGAAAGAGTGATAATAAAATGAACTAAAACATGACATTGACTGTTATTATTACTAAAGAATATCATACAACCTAAACACTTTACAGCCATGCCTTTATTCATACAGTATACAAGTTGTTGTGCAGTTTTTTTTTGTTGTAAATTAATTATAATTTAAATTGATTACATTTTAAATTCTTGATTAAATTGTTTTATGAATTCTTTTCAATAGATGATTTTTGATGATACATTTGTATTAAAGGTGACATATCATGAAAATCGG